TGTGTTGTTGGAATTTAATTAACAATTACAAAGAATTCTGAATTATATACAAGTACTTAGTTTTTTCTCCAGTCTATTGTCATCTCACTTCGTTTTAGTCTCAAACATCCACACATTGGTTTTTCAATATACAGTGAGCTACACACTTGCGCATCATATAATACTGTTTCCTTTGTTTATATAGTATTTACCTCACAGTGTCGCCCGAATGGATTCTTCACCTCAACCATGACAAAGTATATAGGGTGGATCCTTCTTTATACCTTCTAGCTGAGCACGTTCTCCTTTTACACAAACAAATATTTAACTGTATAGTTTTCTTCGCCCTCTATCCTACAGGGGCTGGGGGCATAAAATTGGCAAGGACTCAAGCATGTTGATCCGTATATGAAATCGATGTAGCGCAGGCCCTCAAATGCTTCCCTTCAAAAACGTTTCTCAAAGGACTTAGTAAATTGAACCAACCCATCTGGCTTCTATATCTTCATGTTAACTCGAAAGTATAAAAAGTAATGTTTGCAACCAGAACAGGAGGATTTTATTATTTTACAATGAGTTTTCCTTACTATAGCTTCAATTTTAAAATCTGAATCTCTTTTGCAGCAGTTTGCCTTTATAGGATCACTTAAACAGTTTCTAGAGAATGTTAACCTTGGGCACTGGAATTGGCAGCTCCTCTTAAAAATTTCTAAACAGTGTCTAATCTAAACGATTGACATCCAGCTCGACTGTAGAAAGGTGAAAGTGGAAAACACCTCCGGCCATCCTGTCATACGCCTTTTTAATGATTCGTAAAAAAGGGAATTAGTAGACAGTGAGATTTGGATAAAAGAGTAAATAGTCTTGGGAGTGTGTGCCATTGGAATAATACTTCTTAGACTACTTTCTCACTAAGTGTTTCCATACCGTCTGGATTTAAGGGCATCAGGGCCAAGCATTGTAAAGAAACAGGCTGGGAAACTCTATAGGAGGTTGGGTGGTAATGTTTGAATTTGAGGACACGTGGGTGTAAGAAACGGGAGGGCTGGGTGGATGGAGGGGGTGTGGGTGCTATTTTTCGTCTCACTGCCCCTCCCGTACCCTCCGCCGCGACACGCCCCAGGCGCTGGACGCGCCATACACAGAATTTCATTGGTTAATGAGTGTTTTTGTTTTCCCCATCATCCGTCGTCCCCCTTTTAGGGTGGTACTCTAGTAAACAACTTGACAATCATATTATAAAAACACATAATTGTTCTGAATAAAGAAAGAAAAATAGGAAAGTGATAGACTTTTTATAAATAATCACCAAAATAGGATAAAGGGGCATATAGTTTCAGACTTTGACTATGTGAGTAACATCTATATATGTTGTTTCTGGTCTAAAGACATTTTTCTTTCCGGCCGTTATTTCAGTGCTTTGTAATATTCTCAGTGAACATGAGGCGGCAGAGAATTTTGAAGCCTAGTATCTCTCCCTCGCACCCACCTTGCGCTGGTCTGGCCACACCAGAGCAATTACAAGACCACAATGTAGGTAATTCTAAAGTAGATACAAAATAAAGAAGACCTGGAAAAGATTATAGCCCTATTTACTAACTGCACATAGGTCAGATAACTCCACAGTTCTCTGATCTATTCCGCGAGTGAGTGAAGAACGAAGTTTGGGTGTTTTTCCTTGTTCCTCTTTTTTTTCTCTGTTAATATTCTACTTTTCCTGTTTTGTCACTTCCAGTGTCTGGTATCCCTCTTTCACCTCGTTGGATCTTCATGCTATTTTCCGTGGTTCATGCTCTTCATTTCTCCTTGGGGCTTTCATGAAAGTGAGTTTCCTATTTAGATCCTACAAGTCTGTTGTTTGAATGTGTCCTCTTTAATTCTATTTGGGATATTCTAGCAATTTCTCCGAGTATTTTTGTGCCTTCATAACTCCTTGACTGGGCATTATAAGGGTAGGCCTGTAAGCCGACTAATATTGGCAGATCAACTGGGCATTATTGTCTATCGATATGACATTGTGGCAATTGCTCTATCACG